AAAAAAAAAAGGAAAATTGCACCTTTTTATGCAGGGGAAATTTTAAAAAAGTTTTGTTTGGGTTTTGGGTTGGGGGGGCCCCTTGTTTTTTTTAATTTGTTTAAGGGGTTTGACCGGAACAGGGTTTTTTCGGGGGAGGGGTAAAAATAAAATTTGAGGTGGTGGAGTTTCGGGGAAAGGATTTTTTAGTGGGGGGGCCGGCCAGGGGCAATTTTGAAAAGGAAAAAAACCCGGGCGAAAGGCAAAAAAAAAAATGAAAAATATGCCACCAAACCAGGGAGGGGATTAAACCTTGGGGAAAGAAAGGAAAAATAAAATGGGTAGCCTACCCAGGTTTTTATTTAGAAAAATTTTTGGAAAAAATATGAAAGGGGGGGGGGTTAGGGTTAGGAAAGGGGTCAAAGAAACCCCTTTTTTTTTAAAAAAAATTTTTGGTTTTTTGGGGTAGGAATTTGGATTAAAGGGGGGGTAGGGGCAAAAAAGGAATGGGGAAAGGGGGAGGGAAATTTTCCTTCAATTTTTGCCCCCCCCCCCCCCCCCAAGTAAGTAGGAAGGAACCATTGGCCATCGGTGATCGGTCCTGTGGGAACAATGCTCCGTCCTCTGGAGGACGGGTGGTCAATGGTTTAACCGCTAAGGCATGCAAAACATAAGAGTACGCCCCCCCCCCCCCTTCGTGCGCTCCGTCTACACGTGCCCACGCAAGTGGTTGCCTTCCGGGACAATGTTGACATTGGTCTCTTCGCCGCTTCTCGGCAGAAATCAGACCGGCACACAACGTGAATGCACCAAACGCCGGATAGCAACGACAGCAACAGCAGCAGCAGCAGCAAAGAGGCATGGCACAGCCCACCTTTCGGCCCGTCGGGTTCCTGGAGCGGGGGCAAATGGACTTGATGAACACCGCCAGAGACGCCGTGTCCTGAATCATCCCTTCGATGCCCGTGATCAGCCGGTGGTCTTCCTGTGCCTGAAATATAGGTTACGGTTTTCGGGTTCGCGCCAAAGACAAACAGCTTGACAACGAACCTGACAAAAAAAAATGTATCAAACCTTGCCTTTGGTGTGGAACTACATGTGAGATGCATGCCATCAACGTGATACTTTCGGTTCGCTCAAGTTCGCTGGGCTCTTCGAGTAAAAAACACGTCAGTGGTGTGAGCTGCTGTTCCGCTTGGGAAACGTTACAACTGGCAGCCAGCCGCGGGGTGGCCCTGCTGCCTGCTTTCGTTTCCATCTTGCATCATCGCCCCTTGGTGGCATTGCTGTGCTCTCATGAGCCCACTCCAGTGGGATGGACCCCAAAAAACAACAGCACACCCCAACGGAGATCATCAACGGCGACGACGACACCGACTCTTCTGAAACCGCAGCCCGGTGATGATATCTACCGTTCCACGCCTGGACTTCCCCTACCCTGGGGTTATGCCTTGAAACACAAAAGAGCGGCGTACAATAGTAGCTCTCTCACCTCCGAGGGGGGGAAGGACCTGAAAGGGGTGATGGGATAGACACAGGTGAAGCCGTCGTCAAGGACGCACGCCCATGACCGCGGCGATAGCTCTTCGGTAGCCTTGAGGTACAAGATGTTGAGAACCATCTGTCGCATTGCCGTTCTCTGCGAAATGCGGGCATCCGGTGTTTGAGAAATGTTTCCATCACCATCATGGAAGTGCGGGTGAAGCCTCAAACGCAGGGGAGGAAGGGGATGGGATGGGTTGAACGGGATGGGACAGACCGCACCAAGAATGTGTCGTGTTCGGAAAAGCGTTGGAGGTTCCAAGAGTGGAATAGTCTTGTTTCTTCAACTTCACAGCAAATATCAAGTAGACGCAAACTGTTGCTAGAGGGCGTACAAAACCAACCGGACAGCACAAGAGCAGCGTGGTGCGCTTAACAGCTAAGCCCAGCAGCGGTTAGAGTCAACTACGCAAAATCACAACCAGCCAGCGCTCAACAGACACAGCGAGGCCGAAGCAACCGCCTCTGAGCAAAAGCTCACCCTCCCCGTTCCATCCCCTCACCTTCGCCGACATGTTGGACGTTTCGAGCTGGGCGTCCCTCTCTTCCTGCGCCTTGGCCTGCAACATCTCCCCAACCTGCAGCTTCAGGCTCTCCACATACTGCTTCTTGCGGATGCGCGTGTTTCGCGCGTGCTCGCGGTTCCTGACCCGGCTGTCTCGTTGCGTCGCGCGGGTACCGATTAGGGTGAATAGGTGAGGAAGGAGGCAATGTCCGTGAGAGCGTCACAAGGGGAAAATGGCTGCGAATAGCGCATTATACATGGGGAGGCAAGCGTGTCGTTTGTAAGAGCGGCTCTACGTATGTGTACGATCAGCACTCGCGAACCGCTCAATATTCCGACCGCCTTGCGCTATCGATGCCTTAGACAGGGTATCACCCGAGGCTCCCCTCTTTCTGGAACAACCACGACAAGGCCTTCAAGTGTGTGTGCGTGAAGCGTTGTTTGTGTTCTCGACCAAACAAACAACAAACGAGCTGGCAGGTAAGCTCGTGGCAGATGCCGAAAGGGGCAGACGTTCAGCAGTCGACAACATCAACAGACGAAATCCTTCATGCTTCTTCTTCTTCTTCTTCTTCTTCGAAGAAAGAAAGAAAGAAAGACACACTCTGAGAAGCCCCCAGCCGGCCCACCCTCTTACCACGCACGGTGGAAACACACGAAGCATTCTTCGAACGTTCCATTGGCGTGGTAAGGTTTCTTTCCCTCCAAGCAAACTGTGCGCGGACACGAGGAGATACCGCACCCTGCCTTGCGTCATACCATTTCGCACGGCATTGCAACACCCCGTTCAACGCAAACACGGAGTTCTGGAAAAAACAAGGGTTCTAAACAGGTCAAAACCAGCAGTACATAAACAAACAACAAGGGTGCACAGCAGCAGTGGGCGAATCACGAAAAGGTTCCACAACGTCGAGAAGAACAACGAGAGTGGGCGAGGTTACTCCCGTGAGAGGAGACCAGCTCGCCACGCTACTCACTTGGCTCTCTGCTTGGGGTTCTCTTTGGCGTCCTCAACCTCCCCGCCAGCGGTCTTCCCCCCCCCGCCGTCAAAGTCGGGGTCATCACGGTCGCCATCCCCGTCCCCGTCGCCCGCATCATCTCCCCGCTTTCTTCTCTTCTTGCCCCCCCGCGCCTTCGCAGCCATCGAGGGATGGCCGTACTCGGCGGCACCTCTACCGCTGGTCTCGCCCGCTTCCACGCCACCGCTTCTGCCGGTGGTGTCGTCGTCGCGATCTCGAGACCCTCTATTGTGGCGGTTCGGTCCGGACGACGCTATTTTTTCGCTCGACGCTCTTCCCGCCTCTGCCCTCGCCTGCTTCGGCCCCGCTGCTGCTGCTGCTGCCGTTGTCGTTCTCGCGATGGCAGCGCCTGTTGTCCCAGCGGTGGCGGTAGCAGTCGGTGGGGGCCCATCGTCCGATTTCGACGACCGCGGTTGCCAAGAGCCCCCCCCGTCCTGCTGGCCTTGACCCTCGCCCGGCGGGGGGGACAGGCTCGTCAGGCTAGCCAGGCTGTAGTCGAGAGAGCAGATTGCGTCCGGGTCCATGACCGCCTCCATGCCCGAGGGCAGCTTGTCCAGCACCGCCCCGTCCGCCCCGATGAAGTTGATCCCGCCGCCGATGCCACCACCACCATCGATGCTGCTTTTCCCGCAGCGAGTTTCCTGCTTTGCGTGACGGGCCGTTTGGTTGGTGCGGGTGATTCGAGGGGGCGAGTGGTGCGGGCAACTACAGGCAGGTGTGTGCTGCTGTCGTTATTTTACACATCACGGCCGTACTGATTTGCAGTAAATACCTTGAACGGAGCAACAATCCATAGATCGCCACCGCACCCGTGTATGTGTGACGCCGGCATCTCCATAAAGCCAAAACCCTCCAATCTAGACTGATTATGTCACAGCGCAACAAAATGGTCCGTGTGTTCATGTTACTTCACGACATCAACAAAGCAAGGGAATTATAGGCTTCGCCGGGGTATTTAGAGTCTCAGGTCTTACAGCAGCGGTACAAGACTCTGTCATAAATTATTAATAGTGTTAGGGTGCTGACCGCTGTGTAGGTGATCGCTGGCTTCGCTCGCGAAAAAATGGACGCCAACTAAAGGATCAAAACACAAGCATCCCGAAACAACCACAACGAATATGGGGCGTGACAGGCCGAACACCGCCGTCGATTGTATCCTATGGCATGTACACATGTACACACCATATAGCATGTCTGTAGTTGTAGTTGTACTTGCCCCGCCATTTTATGCCGGAGGGCGGAGGTTTTGGCTGGTGCCGTAAGAAGACAAAGGCATATGGACTCCTTTCCCTGCCTACGAGCATGAAGCATGCATGGGACTAAACGCGACGGCACAACGACATCATGCATGGACGGCATCTCACAACCCTCCGTATCAGCTACAGCCTCAAGCTCAAGCCCTCACGCGCCAAGCGGGTAGTTCGTTGCTGCACACGTTGCTCGGTGAGCAAGTTTGTTTAGGATTTTCAGATTTTGAACGGACATCGGTTAAACGAAACATGCGCCGTGAACCGTGAGCTTGTCAACGCCAACACACTGAAGAAAATCCCAAGCCCCCTGTTCACCTGTGGCTCGTTCATGCTGATGATCCGGGATCTGCAGCACCAGCGTTTCGGTCTCCCTGGGTCGCGCACATCCATATTTCTGTCTGATTCTTCATTCTCTGAGCCCCGGGAGGTACCCATGTCCTACATATATCTGCGGTGCCCCTCTAATGAAGAAGCTGGAAAAGCGAAAACAAAATCAAATACGAGGCAGGTTGGGCGCCACACAAGAAGAACAAACCCTTTCTACACATCATGGCGGCAATGGGTAAGACTGAGAATGAATTCGCCTCGAAGCTCCACGCGGCGCAGGCCAGACCCTTCCTGAGGGTTCTGGTTACTGGTGGGGCCGGTTTCCTCGGGTCCCATCTCTGCCGAAGGTTGCTGGACGAAGGTCACCAGGTGAGGACCGGCAGAGGAGCTGGTCGACACGGAACCATGTGGTATAGGTGTTCTAAACAGCATAGCAAGCCGCCGCCGGCGTTTCTCCCTAATGGTATGCAAGCAGCGCGTCTTGCAGCATCGCCTTGCTGAAGCCTGCGCGTCGGTCATGGGCACGGGGGGTGTGCCCTGCGTATGCCCTGTTGCCACGCTTGTTGGCCATGCCAGAAGGGCTCTTTCCAGGCCACGGCCTGTTTTTCTCTTTTGCTGCTCCCAGAATGATTACCCCGTTTTCAAGTTCCCAAGCTCGGCGGTTGACCATCGCGGGCATCCCTCGTGTGTCTCTCCTCGTCGGGCCTGTTCCGCCCGCAGGTCATCTGCCTCGACAACTTCTTCACCAGCCAGAAGCTAAACATCCAGGTGAGCAGCGCGCGTTGCTTGCTTGCTAGGAGTCACCGGAACAAATGTAGTCAAAGTGCGGATGAAATGGAACGTGAGAGGAAAAGGGACGGCGGACGGACGATTTGTTCTGATAACGAGCGGCTGGCACAAGGCTTCGGGCCTCGGGCGGCGGGCGTGCTTGCGGCCCGTCGTCAGTGTAGATTCAGGCACCGCGTTCCCCCTTTTGACACCCGGATGGTTTGCGGGCTTTTGGTGTGCGCTCCCCAAGATCCGGCAACGAAGAAGCTGCCCGGCGCGAAAAAAACGGCTACAGGATACCTACAAGTACCTATATGGGAAGCAATAACAAGCAGTTGTAGAGCGCTCCTGCTACTAAAATTCTTCGGAGAAACGTCCACCGAGAGCGGTTGCGTCACACGGACCCGACCGATCGAACCACACGATGCCTAGCACCGCCTGCCCGCTTCAAAACCTGTTTGTAATGTTGTGGAGGCCTGCCCCCCGCGGGAGAAATATTTGCATCTATTATTCATATTCATTCCTGGTGTGACCTTTCTTTGCGTTGTGGCGTCGTGCGGGGGTAAAAAAATTCGGCAGTTTGCCAAAAACTTCATTTTTTAGTGGTTTGTGTGCGGTGCGCGTCAACGTGGTTTGTTCACTGGTGACTGCTGTGCGGAGGAAACGGAGTGAGAGACACGTGGGATCGTGGGCTACAGAAACAGTACGATGCAATCTATTTACCCCGGTTTCTTTTTCCGTTTCCATCGGGCGAATATAATGTAGAAAGTTCATGTATGGAATCTCCCCGGATTTCGGCGGCGGTAACGCGGTCACCTTGTACGTTGTGCGTACGCACGCACACGTCACCAGTTGACCTACGGTTGTGTTCTTAGCCTCAAGTCTGTGTAGTATGACATGACGAATACATCTCTATCTATTGAGTCTAAGATAGATTGGCAATGGATCCATAGCGTCAGCGAAGGCTACCCGTGCTTCCACGATTTCCCGAGCAGCACACCATATAGATATCTCCCCCGTTTGCAACAGAGTCAACAAGACAGCAGTGTTGTAGGCATGTTGTGCACCTATCTGTATGTTATTCTGCGAAGGTGTAGAAGGAAGGTGTTTGGTAGTTGGTTCGTGGGGTGTGTTGTTGGTGGCACCCGTACAGGATTATTGCGGAACAAGCAAGTTTCAGGTTTTATGTGCAAGCGGGCATGGGAGAACATGGAGACTCGGAGACGCTACGAACCTTCACTCAGGCGTTTTTTGGTACCACACGTGTTACCTCGGTCAATGAATCGATATTGTACACCCGCTGCGTTGTTAGCGTGTGCTCAGCGTCAGAGGCTGTGGTTGAGGTTTGACTCAAGACCTTGCTATTACCGAGTGAACAGCAGGGCAAACAAGCCCTGCACACTTGAAGGGGGTCCGCCCTTCCAGTAACACATACTGCTGTACAACATGTGTACGAAAACCCCCCATGTACATCTCCGTAGATCCGTATGTAGTGCTCAGTACACCCAACACCCTGCTCGCTGAAACATTCCCCACCGTGCGGGGTGTCCCATCGTAAAAAGTGGCGTGTATACTGCTGTACATGATCTTCTTCATGAAGACCCGAAACCAAAACGACGGGAAAATTTGTTGTCCCCCATGTTGTTGTAGATACACGTCGTTTGGTGGCAAAACGCATGCCTACACTGTACTTGTGTAGCATAACCTTACAGTACAGCAGTAAGGACTAAGAACCCCAGCAGAGGTGGTTCTCAAGTGCGGGCGATGAGATATTTGACTTCAGATCGCTCTCGTTTGTCACGGCGGTCCAGCCCACGCACGTACCGCGCGGGGTCGGACAGAGATATTATCCTCGTGCCTCGTGTCAAGTCCAGAAACGGGTGGCTGTGTTTAGTGGGTCTGGCGCAGTGCCCGAGGTTTGTAATTGGTCCTGTCTACTTCTTACCCTTTCAAACATACCCAAAACATGTGGTACTTACTTAAACATTATTATTTCTTGGCCATTTTGTCTGCACCCCTCCCCCCCCCTCGCCTTGGATCGATTTTCCTTTGCGGAATGTGGTTTGCCACCCTTCGCATGTGTTTCGCAGGACCTGTTCGACCGGCCCAACTTTGAGTTCGTCCGTCACGACATCACGGAGCCATTCCGGGCAGAGGTGGATCAGATCTACAACATGGCGTGCCCGGCCTCTCCGGTGCACTACCAGTACAACCCCATCAAGACCACCAAGGTGCATATACCGTCGTGCCGTGTGAAGGGCGTATTCAAGGAGTATGAGTCAAGGTTGTGTTGTAGCCGCGTACACTAGGAGTCTTTCCTGTCTCGCTCTTGGCCACGACCAGCCGACGGGGTTTTCCTTGTGCTGCACAGGAGAGAGGTTTCTGTCTGCGTGCGTGTGCATGTCGAGGCTTCCTGACGCAGCGCTTGAGAAACAGGTGTTGCTCTCTCGGCAGGCATATGTTTGCTTGTTGATTTATCACCCGAAGCTTATCTTCTCTTGAATGCTTACAATGATTCGCTTCCACCCCGTTCACCATGGTCTTGCGGTAAAGGTGAGTGTGTTGTGCGAACTCCGTTATTCTCGAGGTCTGAGCCCACCGGACGCTTGTGATGCGTTATTCTTTTCCTGTCTGTCTACCTGGCGTCGACCGCGCTAACACCATCTGACCGGTTCGCGTGTACAATTTCGTGTTTGGAATACAAAAACAGGTTTCCTTTTTCGGAGC